ATTCATGCTGGGCCCTTCAAAAATCCGGATCGATCAAGCTGTGGACACTCCACTGTATGTTAGTCTGTACCTTCACATATAATAGACTTGCTACAAGACGACTCGTATTATTTAGCTGCAAGGTTGATCGCAAATTTTACTCGTTATAATGCGAGTCGACTTGTAACAAATCTATTTCACATACATCTTCACTTAATTAATTCGGTATATGAAAGGGCGTGTGAATTGAACAAGTCACATATTATTAGCACTGATTAAGATCCGGGCTTACGGATCGAAAGCTTTGCAGTAATACATTTTAATACGTGGTGTTTCCACAAACAAAAAGTATTATATTAATTAATTCGATTTAATAATAAATGTACTTATAAGGTACTAAATAAATAGTTTCCACTGTCTTTAATTTATGGCCTCATTACCGTGGTACCAAGGCAACGATACGTGGCTGGCATCCAAATGACGCGTTTGCGTCTGGATGAATTGCAGTTGAATCATAACATATAGCTGAGAGTGGAAGCATTAGAATATGCATATCAAAATATTCCACTGTTCTGTCATCATTTGAATATGTAAAAAGTTGCTCCAAGGACATTAGTTTCCGCACAAAATATGCTAGTACAAATTGATCTAGTTCTACTGTGGCTTTAACTGCCAGACAATTAATGATTAACTAGCTGAATAGGTTGAATATACATTTTAATGCTTCCAGTCTCAGCTACATGTTGATGTTGTGATTCGACTACAACATCTCCCGACGCAGAACGCGTCACTCTGATAAAGTGTGTATTTGGCTCATCAGGTCACAACCTTGCGCAATAAATCAATGTTTTCGTGTTTCGTGGCGATATTACCATTGCATGCCTGAATCTTGACAGTTTTTGGTTACACGTATATCTAGCTTGTTGATGTGTTTAGCCTAAATTGTTTCGTTGCTGGCTACCCATGCATGAAAAGAGCATAATGCCTGGTTCACACTACTGGCACTGGCAATTTTGTCGGCGATTCTGTGTTTCTGACGGATGCAAATGCCTGAACTCGCTTTTCAGAATTGAACAATTCTAAGTCTTTTGCATGCCATTCATTCAATCACATTTTGCCAGGAGGAGAATTAATTGCTAGTGTAAACCAGGCCTAATCACCCTAATGTTCCTATAGGTACATATAATAGTTAAGCCGAACGCCTACGCTATGCGATTTACGGCTTAGGTGCATGTTATTTACGAAGCCAATGGAAAGGCCGAGTGAGAAACATGCATGAACCACATCGATTATGCCACTGATTGATTTCCTTTTTACTGACACATCCAAATCGTTTTAACATACATCGGCAAATTAAAATCGTAGCGTGCGCCCCGGGTTTTAGTATACTGCATGCTAATATTTTGTCAGCTCACTGTCAATAACATGTCAATCGTGGCTCACACTGCAATGATACGGTCCAGTCGTGTAATATTTCAAAATAAGAGCGCCAATTGTCATTTGCTGAATGAATATATACGACCATGCATATATAACCAGTAGATATATATTAGCTATAAAACGGATACTTAATATTTATACAAATTATCAATTTGACTCGTCAGATATTTGCTGAGCATATGCCTTAGTTCACACAAGGTCACCGTACACACATCAATGTGCGCATACATGTTTGAACTTGCCTTTTCTATTGAGAATAGCTTCCGGTAAGTCAATTAAAAAAAGTCAGCAAAAAGACTATTATTTTAATGAGAACAGGACAAATCCTGACCCAGTGTTGTACCTACCTGGCCACAACAGGTTGAACGGTGAAGAATAATGAAGCTGAAGACATTGATTTTATTTTGTGCAATTGTTTCACATCTTTTTCACTTTGTTAAGACACAAAGTAAGTGATCTGGTTCAACAATTCAATACTTTTAAATACTTGTATATATAGATATATAAAATAGTTATAGTTTAAAAACACGCCACTGAGAGGCGATCATCAGTATAGACTGCTCCACTGACAACCTTTTGGTATCGAACACTTCGAGAAAAGTCAATATCAATACATTAATTGCCATAAAGGAAATCCCTATACATACAAGCATACGATACGGTCTGTATCTTTAGTAATAATAGTAACAATATTTAGTATATAAATATATGTGTAATTCTATGGGAAAAAGTATATATACACTTTCACTTTATTGTCCAGTATGTTATCAGGCTACACACTCGTTTTGTATTTCATATATATTATTGCATGCAACTATTATGCATGTTTATGTATATGTATATATAGTTTTTTTACATGCAAAAACACACAAAGTCATTCATGTGCTATATGCTTTAGGGCAATCGATTCATAGCCTTATTGGGCCAACTGTGACCAAAAATGAGCTGAGACAGATTCAAAGATCGATCTAAACTACGCAAGACGTCACCAAGGAACCGGCCTCGGATCGGTTTTCGAGTTTCGTTTGGGAGACTGATAAATTACCACATAGGATATGGGCTATAGGCTATCAACTAGGGTTACGTGGAGGAATGCTCGCCGAGAACCTTTTGAATAATTATAGACCTCCAATGCAACTGAAATTTGACATTCTTAGCTTGTGTTCACTTTTAACTTCCTTTCAGTGTCAATACTAGTTTATCTGAATATCAGCTTAAATTAAATTAGTTAGATATTTACCTGAAATTACTCAAGCACTAATGTAAGTTGGTGCATGTGTATCTAATTCTATAAGGAATGATGAAAAAAATAGGCACATATTATTATGGCACAATCATATAAACATATTGAAACGACTCATAATATTCTATATGATGGAGAGCATCAGCCAGGTGTGTGACACGTATTCCCCCAATTAATGAAATAAATGGCATGAAAAGTTGTACTATTGCATTTTTAATTAAAGATTATCATTTCATACATTTATTCAAAGACAAGTTCTTTAATATCAATTAAATCTGATACTTTATTGCGAAAACGTGGATTAAAAATAGACAGCTTGACCTTGGATTAATTATTATTGTTTCGATGACGAAATCCACTTATACTGTCTCATGAATGGTCAAAGCCTGATATGCTGCATGGCTATCCCTAATCAATATTTAACGAAATGGCAAAATTGACCATGAAACTGAATCGATCAAGTATTGTATGAGAGAAACTTAAAATAGTCTAATGTGTTTTTTTTTTCATAGAACAAGTTAAAACAAGAATTAACAATCTGGCAACGTTGCATCAATTTAATTCAATCAGTTCCATATCGCAAGACAATCATGCATAATTATACTTCCTTTCGCTGGAGAATATTCGCTGACACTTTCGGCTCACTTAGCACTATCAAGAAAACTTTACTTTTGGTCTTTTCAGATTATTTAAAACATGATTCCTCTGCAGGAAAAAAAATCCGGCTGGCGATAGCTAGCTATTGTTTATATTGTCAAAATGTGTATAGACTTGCATGTATTCACTACATGAAGTCGCCAGGTTGCCTCTGTAGTCTCAATTCATCTGATGATTCCTCTTGGGTGAAACAGGCTGTAGTGGTAACTTTTTGAGGCTTGTATGTATTCTATATTTTCGGATTTGCCCTTCTCTGAACAATGCAGATATGAAGAATCAGTATTAGTATCTCTGCATATATGAGGGACCGGTCATTATTTATGGCCGGGGGGGGGGGGCACTGAGGAGAAACATTTTCTTGGGCAAATATTTTAGTGACCCAACCTTCAAAAAAAATGTTTTTCTCCACCCAACTCCAGCATTCATTCAAAAATCTTTGACCCACCCTAACTTAATTTTATCAATTTACTTATTTAAAAGCTAAATTGACTTATTTGAGTTTTTGAGAGAACAAAAAAGCCAACAAGTATGAACTCTATCAAATTATCATGACTGTTATGGCAGGTTCAAATGGAATATTTTGCAAATCGATATATATCCAAGGAACTAGATTCTGTTCCGAAATATCATATACTTGAACCGACCTGACCGCGTAGCTCAGTTGGCAGAGCATTGGGCTGGTATTCCAAAGGTCGTATGTTCGATTCCCACCGTGGCCATGCAGGCATATTTTTCAAGCTTGCCCGGTGTGGATACACATTCAGAGTAACATCATAAGCATCACTGAATTTTTAGTCAGTCATTACTAAGAGGCGTGGGAAACTGTCTCTAACTATCTTTTTAAATATCGTTGAAGATTTGAAAAGGCATTCTTTCTCTATGTTTAAGCTTGCTTATCGATGGGTCTCGGATTGAGAAACGATATATTTCAAAATTAACAATTTTGAAATATAGTCATCCAAGACATAATCAAGTGGCAGTTTTGAGCGCTTGATGATTCTCATATAAATAATTATTAGCCTGATACCATTTATTTATTTATTTATTTATTATATAGCCTTACAATCAATTATACAGGACTGTTACAGTCCCAAATTAAGTTCTATCGTATATAAATACATTATACACATGCAGGATTAATTAAGAAATATATAAATAAGATTTTGGCGTTGTCTGTTCTGTTATAGCAGATGACGTCATGATGTGGGAAAAACAAAAAAGTGACTCACGAGCCGCCGAGGAGAGTGAAAAAGTCGAAAGTTTGCAAATATCACGCGTGCACCTTACAGTTACGTCACGTGTGATGTATCTGTCTCTAATAAATCATGGCTATCGACAAATGAAAGCGCTTGAATTATTAACGTTACTACTGTATATAATACGCCATACACCATAGTGTATACTGTGTATTCTCAGGGAATAAGCCGAGATTTTTGCTTTTCCAGCTTGCGCCGTCATCAATAGTAGTTTTGTTGAACAATAGTTGCCATTGTCATGGAAGCTTGGTGATATTGTCCCATTGCTGAGAAGAATATCCCTCACACCATCTATTTCAAAGGTTGCTGAGGAGTTCGTAGTAGCAAGAGGCATATTGGTCCCACAATTTGTGTGATATCGAGCCTGAACAATTTGGGGCGATTCCAAAAGGAAATCGATGGAACAGGAGTCGCTGTAAGAAGTCATGCTCTTTGACTATCGAAAGGCATTCGATCCTGCCGATCACCTCACTTTGGCGGATAAGATTACCAACAACCTATCCCAAAGGCTATTTATTATTCACTGGACAATCGATTTTTTGATGAACAGTAAACAGCGCGTAAAATGTACCATACTTGAAGCATAGCCGAAATCATATCTCATCATTTGCACCTGTTATTTATTCTAATTTGTATTAAATTTTTACAGATATAACTCTCAGGATTCAAGGATCCAATGGCTATGGACGTGTGGAAATATTACACAATGGGCAATGGGGAACAATTTGTGATGATAGTTGGGATATAAATGACGCTAGGGTTGTATGTCGTCAACTTGGTTATCCATATGCTGTAAAAGCTCTTCAAGGAGGTCAGGTCCCCCCTGGCAATGGACAGATATGGTTAGATGATGTCCGTTGCACTGGTAGTGAACGAAATTTGACCAATTGTCATCATCAAGGATGGGGAACTCATAATTGTCGCCATGGTGAGGACGCTGGAGTTGAATGTTCAACAGGTAATTTAAAATTAAGTCATTTCCTATCATGATGTCATATGACAAAGTGTCAACTGCCCAGTAGATTTTCATCCTAGGTATGGCGGCCAGTGCCGTAGCTAGGATTTATAGTTGGCGGGGTGTAAGCCAAAAATTTCCGAATGACGACCGAATTGCCGTAATTTTCCGAATGGCCACCCCATTTTCCGAATGGCCACCCCATTTTCCGAATATGTCAAAAGTTCCTCCTGATGGCGGCACACAGAGAGCTGTTTTGATACAACCACATGGAGATTTTGTATAGACATATTTGTATTTATACTTATTGACATATTCAATAGGACATGATCGGGTTCCCAGTGGTTATAAGTATTGTCAAATTTTCAAAAAGATTGTTTGATCGGAGAAATATGTTTACGGTCACGATCGGACAAATATTTACCGAATCACCGATGTGAATGCGTGTGCCTAGTGGTTTATAAGGTTCAAATGAACAACACTGTAAATCCAGAAAATTCCAGTTCAAATTAAAATAAAATAACTACTAAATTATATTATTACTTTATTTGCCAAGTATTTGAACTGCATGGAATTTGCTGGATGTCCATAAGGATTTTGCAAATAAATTATGTAGATGTTCAAGGAGTTAATTGAACTCCCGCTAGAGTTATTTTGAAGCACATTTTTAAACTGCAAATGAAGAGTAAAAATTTGTTCACAACAGCTTGAGTTTGCTTTGTTTCTCACGTGCACGCTATGATAGGAAAGTTGAGCTACAGCCAACAGTCAACTTTCTTCGCCTGCGCGTGGGAGGAAGACTTCAAATTGCCTCGATCAGTCCTTATTAAACCAAGCAAGCGTCATAACATGAATGTGTCGTTGGTTGAAATTGTTATAAAAAGCGAAAGACGTTTTATTTTCGTGGTTCCGAAAAGTTCCAAGCGGGTATCAAACTGACCTACTGATCTCCGGCTGGTATTAATGAAGAAAAACAAGACAATAAGACAATAGTTAAATCGAGCCTGGGTACGAGGTTGTAGTTAAATTTATTTTTGTTGCCTTTTTTGTGTTACGGCGTCCTTTTTCTCCAGTAAAGATGACAAATCGCTTTCCGATAGCTCGGCAAAACGAGACATGTTGACATTTCAAAAGAGAAAACGATATTTTTTAATTTAACTGATGAATCGCTTTCAAAGTGCGCATGCTCAATGAAGTTTTTGCACCTGATCGATATTTGCACACAATTATTTGCAGGTGAATTAACCAATCAAAATTGAGAATACTATTGATAAAGTGAATGATAATATTGGAAAGTGGGCTGCCATCTACGTTGAAATCACCAAATAAACAGCTTATGCACACATTTCCCCACTTCGTCGTAAGTTTACAGAGCAGATTTTATACCTTGGTATATTGATCTTTATCTTTGATGTGAACATTTATTCTTCTAGTTTGATCCTGTCGTAAGTCTTTTACCAGCAAACCATCGACAATATTTCGTTTTAGCGTTGTCTTTTCCTTTATGTTGGCTTCCCGTTACTTTTGTTTTAAATACTTTGATAGCGTTAAAATAGTTATAGTTCCTTAAGAGCCAGTGTCATAGCCAAAAGACTTACCATTAACGTCCTTGTGATTGTATTGAGATAGAGCAATTACTGAGGATATCGATTTAGAAAGCGTTATCTGTACCTTCTCAAAGTTGTAGACAAGATATGTTGTTTACGTCCAACACGCATAATATTACATATCAAACTCAAAATGATTCGAGCAAAACGGTCTTTTGTTGAAAGGAAGATTGGTTAATAGAAATTGTTCCTTTTGAATGACAAAATCGTTTGTCGTCATCGATCAGTGTCTTTGAACATTGAAAAAATTTGTCGTGAAATTAGTGAAGATAAAATAGCAGTTTGTGTGAAAACTGCGTGTCTACGGAGCGGGAACTTTTCGGATTTGAACTCAGCGTGCTTGAAAGTGTTAGGGACCGGTCATTAGGGAGCTTAAGATCTACAACGCGAATTTGTGACGCGGACGTGCTTACCTAAGCCTAGTTTTTGAGTGTAAGCCTAGTCAGAGTTGTCAGAGTTTATTTCTTTGAGATTTGTGACACTGTGATGACACGTTAACAGCCATATGAAATGATAGAAACCAGGCTTTATAGACTATTGTTATGAATGCACATTTTCCCGCCAAAACTACCATCCGAGACGACGTGATATTTGCAAAGATTCGTCGTCATAGAAGTCGTAAAAACTTATGATAAAAAATATCTTCTTAATATATTGCTAGCCTCTGTTATGTTGTACATTTTTTCCAGTATAATTTCATTTTATTTACTGCGATACAAATATTTTAATGGAATTTGCCATCGTTTTAAAATAAAACTTGTTTAATGCGACGTCCGCGTCGTAAGTTCGCGTTGTAGATCTTAAGCTCGCTATTAATAATGGGAGGGGGCGGGGCGGTGGATGATAAATACCAAGTATTGAACATTTTTTAGAGCCGCCCCAATCGGAACACCTTTATTTTAAAGACGCACCCATTGGGTTAGGTTAAAATGCGGAAGCGGATGCGGAACGGATATAGGGTTAAAATGCGGAACGGATATGGCGTTAAAATGCGGAGCGGAACGGATATGGGGTTAAAATGCGGAACGGAACGGATATGGGGTTAAAATGCGGAACGGAACGGATATGGGGTTAAAATGCGGAACGGAACGGATATGGGGTTAAAATGCGGAACGGAACGGATTTGGGGTTAAAA